TACTTTCAAAACTAAACGAAACTCGAAACAAAACACTGTTCCATCAAAATAGAAGTTGAAGCAGAATGGTAATGTTTTTCACAGCCCTAATGGGCAACATTAATAAATCAAATGGGGCCCTGGCACACATTCATTTAATGATGCAAAAGCATCTGATCCTTGATCCCAACAACTGCACTTCCCACAATGCCACATATGCTGGCAGAAGGTGCGATTCTGGCATTGGTGTCAGATTCCAATCATGGCATTAGTACTTGCCAGTGCAGGGGGAAAGTTTTTGCTGGAACACCACAAGTGGGGCTGACGATCAGCTGAATATAAGTTCCAGGCTGGAGTACCCTGGATCCAGTTACAGACTTGGAGTCACCAGCGCCAGGGCTGATAATTAACTAGTTTTCAGCCCAAATAGCCCCCGGTCTCATTTGAGACCTACGGCTGCCTAGGGACTGGGGACAACAATCTGTTGACTGTTAAAACCCTGTACCTGGTAGCTATTCTGCAAAGCAACTTTGCTACAAGTAAAATCCATTTAACAAAATACCCTAAAAATGAAATGGATTAGACATTCAAATGGCAAGTATGCAATGTATAAAGTATTTACTTGATTCCAAAACACCTCCCCACAACATTTCATCATGGGCAAAACAAAGCTCTGTCTTAGAATCAAGCATCACAGTTAGGATTTGGGGAAAATGACTGTGCAGGGAACCCAAGTCCCCATGCAGAGACAGCATCAGCAGCCTGCCGATTCCTGTTTTTAGTGTCTACTCGTGCCTGGCTCCCTTCCCTCATCCCCCGCTCATCTGCCTCGCTGGCAGGGAGCCAGGAAGGGGAAAAGGAACCTGCACCCAGCTGCTGTGGTCTCTAGCCAGCTGGGCTCCCTGTAGACCAGTCCCTCACAGCTTCCAGCTGGAGTCTGACTCAGCTGTAGCAGGCATGGAGGAGCTCCAGAGCCATTCCTGCTGAGGGTTGTAGAGAGCAGCTACGCTGGAAGCCCAGATTTGCAGAGTCCAGATTCCTCCTTTGAACCAGGAGAGGAGGTGGA